ATCCAAACAATAACAACTCAACGAACCAAATATCAAAGAAAAAGAAAAAAGAACGGAAAAAAGAAAAGATTGATATAATCCATGTTGATAGCCTTGAATGCCATAGAGATAGTTATTGTGTTTGGGTTTTCATTTGTCAATACATCTTAGTATAAACACGATCATATTAACATTCTGTTTCAATTTATTATTTCTCATATCTTATCAATGTCAATTTTCAATATCATTTTTTTCCAGCTCAGTGTATTAAAGACTTTAACTAAAGGTAAGTACTGTTGTACTTACGGGACATCATCTTAAGCCTGGTTCACACAAGCAACAAAAAACAAATGCAAACCCAGACAACATACGTAGATTCAGTAGTGTTCTGCCCATTGCCAGTACTTGTTTTTCTCTCACCTCAGTGAAAACTGCAGTACTGAGGCTGCGTATGTTGCGTTTGTTGAGTCTGCGTATGTTGCGTTTGCGTTGCTCATATGATCCAGGCTCAAAGGGAAAACTGGGAAAGCCATAATTACGCCATACCCTTATGCAAAAAAGTACTATTTGGTTTCATCATCATCTCTTATGCCTGGGTGGCATTAGTATTTGGTTTGACAAGCAATAAATGACAGGCCAACCCATCTCAATGGGATGGTTTTTATGAGCTAAAAATTAAAAGCTTAGTTATAGCATCTGCGAGGGAAAAGCATGCTAGGAGCTCTCATGCTTTGCCTGGAAGGTGCTTAGGATAGTTACGCATCTGTGAGGGGAAATAGCCATGGTAATTCCATGCCTACCACCCGGAAGGTGCTTTAATTAGTTATAGCATCTGCGAGGGAAAAGCATGCTAGGAGCTCTCATGCTTTGCCCGGAAGGTGCTTAGGATAGTTACGCATCTGTGAGGGGAAATAGCCATGGTAATTCCATGCCTACCACCCGGAAGGTGCTTAGTTATGGCATCTGCGAGGGAAGGGCATATATGTCTGACCCGGAAGGTGCTTAGGATTAATTTTGAAATGAATTAAAATCTGTTTTGAACATCAGTGCGTTGGGGATTATGTGTAATTGGGGTTGATATTAGCGCCTCTTACACATAAACCCAATCAAATGAATATGATGCTCTGTTTTTCCTTCTTTTCCATTTCAGATTGACCCCAGCAAGCAAGTATTTTTGGCAAGAAGAATAGATAYATGTAAATAAGTAAATAATAATATGCAAATATTTAAATGTGCAAATGGCATATGAAAGATATGAAACTATGATCAAAAATGGAGTGMAGACAATATATCCATGAAACAGATCTATATAGTTAGCACTAAATAGCACTATAAAAACACTAGAGTGCATTCAGTAAACCCGTGAAATACGCGTAGTTATTTAGCCGTACATGCCTGTAACTAATGCTACTTACGGTTACGCGTATATTTCACGRGTTTACTGACTGCACTCTGGAAAACACTGAATAGTGTTTGCACTATCCTTTCACTTCGATTAAAACTTACTTTTTGCCGGCATAAAATCAATTGGGGTAGATGTTGACTCTCCCTCTTCCCCTGGACCAGTGTTGTTGGTATAGAAGTTTATGCGTTTGTTCGTTACCTTTATTGAAATTTGTAAGATAGATTTTGTAAGTTCCCTGTTTGGATAATATTCTGGTTTGACGTCTTTTGTAAAATATATCATTTTCTGTGTGTGAGTATTTGTATATATACATTGTTAACACATACTGCTACCAATAAAAGACGTTATTTCTTATTGKGATGATATCCAATTGCAATGTGTGGAAAAGGACATGATCGGTGCATACGATTAGTGAATTATAAAACTATCTTGAAACGCATCTTCGAACAGACATTAYAAAATAACTGTTATGAATGTCGCGTTCTGATTGGTTTGGAGCGCGTGCTTTATGAGAGCACATTGCACGCGTGCGCACTTTCCGTTGCGTCATTCCTATCTATTATTGTAATTTGTATTTTATAAAAGAAATAAAAAACTTGCTTGATGTGCTATGTGCAGTCATAAAGCACTTTAAGATTGGCAGAACACTCAAGAAGTGTCCAGAAGCACTCCACTACGCGTTGTGCTTCTCCTAACACTTCTCTCGTGTTCTGCCAACCCTCGCGTGCATGCAGCACGCGCGCGCGTTTTCTATTTCTTCAACATTCGAAGTACTGCTTGCATTTGCACAATATTTTACAAACTTTTCTCGAAGAATGAGTACGGTGCATACGCAAATAAAAAATCAAAACCGTACACAAATTTAGGCAAAATTATGTATGAAATATGAATGAAAAGTAAAATTTCCCACCGCTTGCATTTGCACAAGCCGCGCGAACTTTATTGTACATGGTTTCTTTTAAATGATATTGTGATATCAAAAAAAAAAAAAAAAAGTAATCTGAATTACTTTGTCATTGAAAGGACCGCTATGTAATTGCTTGTCGCAAAGTCACAGGATTTTTCAGGTTATTTATCACGAATAAAAACTTTTCTTATTTTTCTCCTTTTTGCWTTTTACTAATTTTTAGGCACCCTCGATTAACCTTCCCTCGATCGTAGGCACCCTCCATCGTGGGAGCACCCTCGCTGGGAAACGAGGGACGTTAAGGAAATCGAGAGACGTTGCCGTAAACGTCCCTCGTTTCCCAGCATCCTTGAGAGATCCCCTTCCGGTAGTGTCACAGGGATTTTCGAAAATCGAAGCATGTATAGCAAAGGACCGATGGACTTCCGGTAGTGTCACAGTGTCACAGGGATTTTCGAAAATCGAAGCAATTTATCATAACATAATATTGACCCTGAAACAATAAGAACGCTTTATAATTATTCCAAAACAAAAAGTTTCAATGATAAGAACCTAAGCTTGACAAGAAATAATTAAAAATGAATGTATGTAATGAAATGAATGGTTTTAGGAGATATTTTTGAAGAGAAAAATCGGTTCAAGGTTTGTCATCTTAGTCGCCGGGTATGTGATTTCAAGCCGATCGGTTGTTTGGATGCTCGATGTTCTAGCTCAATCAATCGCGTTTGAATAAAGTCATCAAATGAAATATCCACCACTTGGCACCATTTTGAGGCAAGTAACAGCCCTTATGGTAAAAGGCCACCTTTCCTCATTTAGTTCTCGGATGTTTTGGCAGTCAGGAACCAAAACAATCCTCAGTCGTTCGCGAGGGTTGCCAGTGAAGCTAACTTGGCCCCCGACTAGTTTTATCGTCATAAATGGCAGAGACTTCACCGTATAAGTATGTAGAAATTGAAAGTATACACAGTGTAGATATAGGAAATCACCAACTGCAAGAAAATCCACGCCAAACCGGTGAGACAGATTTGACATTCATAATACTTTCTTGCCAGGAGATGTTCACACAACGACGGTCAAACGCAAATAAAGCGTAATGAAACTTTTAACCCACAATGCTTCACGCGACTTGATCACCCTCCTCTGGTTAGTGCCATGTCTTTCTTTATTCTGCCGTGAGTTTAGTTTATTTTGCCGTGGCTTTCTTTATTCTGCCGTGAGTTAAGTTTATTTTGCCGTGAATTTATTGCCTTTTGTCGTGAGTTTAGTTTGTTTTGCCGTGAGTTTAGTTTGTTTTGCCGTGAGTTTAGTTTGTTTTGCCGTGAGTTTAGTTTGTTTTGCCGTGAGTTTTTGTTTTGCCGTGAGACTTGTGGGCCACCGTACTATTTAGTATTACTAAAGTTTCAAGGATTTACTGTGGTCACTCTACTGCCACTTCATGAAGTCTTACATCCCTTTAACATGAAGTAGTAACTGACCATGGTTGCAGGATTTACGGCCCCACATTTTGCTTTTTTATAGTTTCGCGCGGCTATTTTCGATCGGCTACGTTCAGCAATGGGAAAAAACTAAACGAAAGTAGCGAAAAACCACCCACAAACGCCATAATTTTCTGCGGGTGCTCCTTTCTTCCTGACATTTTTATGTGTTCCCTGTCCTTTTGAGGAAGAAACTGGTTGGATTAACGTTTTTATTGTGAACTCAAACTGGTTCCCGCCAACAACAATAACCGGTCAAACAAGTTCTAGTATAACACGATTGATATAACGTATAGTAACTTTCAGTCTAAATGCGCTGCCCAAGCAAACTGAGGATCAAATCAGAAGAAGACGTAAACATTTTGTAGTTTTTGAGTATTCTCTTCTCACTATAAATGGCTTTGAGTGTTGGTCGTCAACTGCAATCTCGAAGCGGCATAGCAAGACGAGGTATCATACCATAGTTCTTATACGATAAGAAACACTAAACGTGATCATATTTGTTATTTATATATTACGTTTGGAACCATAATCATGTTTCCTGAAGATGGGCGCGTGTGTAAAGCCCAAAACTAAGACCCTTTGCCAAAATGGATGACTGGAAAGAGTACCTTAATTACTTTAGTGACCATGCAAAGATTCATTATGGCAGGACTGTTAAAAGGATGAAGAAATTAATGTTATGTAATATTTATTGTTTCCCCAGCACTCATTTTTTGTGTGTGTTTGCTAAATATTTCTTTACTGAAAGGAGAGCCTGCGCGATATTTTTTTTCTTAGGTGAAGTGCTTGCTCGATATTTTTTGGGGATTTACACAACCCCCTTCTCAATTCTCATATCGTCCGTACTTGCACCACACACGTTTTCTATTTCCTTACAGCCATTCTGACGGCAACCATACAATAGCACTAATTGCGCTATTCAATAGATACTCGTTGGAATGCACGAAATACTGCATCATTGCCGTCTTATGCTGAAAGTAAGGCGTGAAATGTCCTATTTTTACGTAATAAATTAAGAGAACGGCTACGCCAAAAGCTTATGTTTGCTGATTTTCGTTATAAGTAAAGCGCTCCCAAAAGACGTCATTTCACTCTAAAACGGGGGTGCTTATTGAGTAAAATACTAGGTAAACACGAAATAATAATACAATAGAAGATTGAAGCTCCTCAATTTCGCCGACGTTGTCGAACCACGTTGCCGTCCTGCAGCTTAAGGTCCCTATTGTTTCTGTGGCGACGAACTGAGAAGCTTTTGGTGAACGTCAAGGCGTTTCAATGACATTCTATAGGCATGTGCCCTTATATACCCCATATTTTTGTGTAATGTTAATATATTCAGTGGAGTTACTGCTAATTGAATCACGGGCAGCCCAAATAAGCTTAGCTGTGCTGTATTATGCTGAAAAACTAGTAAGGTTAAGAAAAATGAACATACCTTGATCTTAAATTGTTCTTTATGGTTCTTACTGTACTTTTTGCTATCCTGCAAACACAGAAATTTTAACGGCTTGCTGTAAAATTGTGTTTATTTTACTGCCACCAGTGGAGAACGTAAGAGCTACCCACCAATAATTATATTTAATTGACTGTAGCAAAAAAAACTAGAAATCTTTTTTTACTGCTTGATTATATTACTTCTAAAGTCTGGAATTACATCCTCAGCTGCTAAGCCAATCTATGAGCCCAGAATCTATGAACATGTCATTCAAATCCATATATATAGGTACTCTTGCACAAGAATGCTCTTTTCGCGAGAGAGAGAAGACAAAAAAGGACCAGAGGCATTTTACGACTGGGCTGCCACAGGCAACCCAGTAGAAACCAATTTCAGTGTGCAGCTTGCAGCTACCAAAATTGCAGAATATCAAAAACCACAGTAAATTTGTCTTGGGTAATTTTAACTGTTTTTAGTCATTAGGGAGGGGGGAAATGAGAAAGAAACTGATTTATGCTTCAGACAGGTGCTAATGACAGCCATCTCAATAAATATGTTTGTTTTTCCAAGTCATCTGGGTAATTTTTATGTGTACATGACAATATATTATTTTCTTGTTGTCAAAGTACTATGGAGGAACTCTACGGCTTCTCTTTCATCAATCAGCTACAGTCATGAGCCAGACGGCCCATCAATGAAAACAGAGGTGCCTGGACCTAAATCCAAGGTGTGTACATAACAAGTAAGACCTTGAGATGGGGTAGAATTCACCCAAGCAGAAACAAATATTTCCGCATGACACAGGAAAATTAGTTTATTTGGGGATGGGGTCGCACTGTTAGTCTAAAAATTTGTTGTTTTAGTAGTAAAGTGCATGCATGGGTACGTCGTTTTGGTAGCAGAGTGAAAAACAATCAGTATAATTGACGATAATCAACCATGGTTGGTTGCATGCTTTATTCAAACAGTTGTTCCATTTGGTTAAGTTTCGTTGCCATTGATTGTATTGACTCAAATGCCTGGACATGAAACATATTTCAATTGAAGGCAATAGTGTGTAACTCTAATATCTGCTATTGATTTTTAACAAACAGATGATACCCCTATCCAACCCCCCTCCCCACCAGAAAGCCTTCCCTCAGACCTGTTACTAATTTCTAAAATATATCCATTCTTTTGGCAAAGGACTAATTTGAGGAATGTAGAACTGTAATAATGTAATAACTTCTTTTTTGCAGGAACTTTTTAAACGATTGGAAACCTTCCAGGTATATATTTATATTATACAAAATGATTTTCATAGAAAAAATAGAGTACTTAAGTGAAAAAAATTTAAAAATTTCTCTTTCATGAGACAACAATCTTAATGGTTTATTATACAAAAATGGTAATTTAGCCATGTTTATATAGTATACTCTGATGAGAATAAAAACTTTTGTTCGTGGCACTAGGAAACATATCTTTTAACATTTGACATTTATCTCTTAATTTGCAGAGTTCAAAAGGAATGAAATATTTTGTAGATTTTGACCAAAGTAGTGGTAACTACATTGTAGATGCAGATGGTAATGTTATTCTTGATGTGTATCAACAGATTGCGTCAATGCCTCTGGGTAAGACACTAATAATACTCCCATTCCGAGCTCGCCTTTGCTCAGTCTTTAAGCCTTGATTGTTAAAAATGTGTTCTATTCTTATATTAAGGCCCATTGTATAGTAAGGAATGTACACACTACTGAACAATACGAGTTGATTAAAATGCTATGGATGTTGGTTGAACAGCTGAATATAATATACGTACAAACAAGACTAAAACTGAGGAAAGAGAACTCAAAACTGGAGTATTGATGGAATTCACCCCCCCCCCCCTCCAAAAAAAAAGTCCTTATTTTTACAAGGGTAACACTTTATATCCAGTGGCTAACAAACCGGTGGCCGTTGTTTCATGATCAAATTGAAATTTAGGAGTTGATTTTTGTGGAGGAAGGAAAACCGGAGAACCCGGAGAAAAACACTTGAAGCACAGGAGAGAACCAACTAGAAACTCTACTCACATAGGATTCTCAGCTGGTTGGGACTAGCAGTTGCATTTAGAGCAGTTTGTGCGTGAAAAAAATCAGCCAATTAAAATTCTAGAAAGCATCACGGTCATGGCACGTCACACTTGCGGCACTGAGCTTTTCACAGTCATACGAAAACTGCTCTAAATGCAGTCTGTCGTGTTCTGGGTATTTGATTGGATGGAGAGTAAATTCTGGTGTATTGTGATTGGTTTGGCATATCCCTTGCCGTGTCACGACCGTGTTTTTGCCGTAAACTTTTCACAGTCATACGAAAACTGCACTATGTGAGCACTCTCACCACTGCTAGTCTTCATTCAAATCATCCAATCAGCATACTTTTTTCTTCAGGCTACAACCATCCAGACCTTCATGAAGCTTTAAGGAACTCAACAGAGTTAATAGTAAGTCAATCATATTTTATTGGACAACAGCAACTACTTACGTTGTTGTCCTACACTCTACTGACACTAACCAACAAGCCTACTGACATTATGTTATCTGTGACCCTATCTACTATTGCTGGGACAATCAGCCTTGAGAGCTGAGAGGGCTTCACCCAGTATAAAAAAAGATTACTATTTACTAATCCACCCAATTTAAACACTCAATTTAAGCACCAAATTTCAGACAATCTATCAAAAATCCATCAACATCCTGTGAACCAATTATTGTGTTTGTCGCAGCTCAGCCAATGAAAATACTTACTAGATATATAGTGTTGTAGTGACATTCATAGCATGACATGTCTGTGTCTAATAATTATTGATACCCTGAAACAACCTCGGGGCTGATCATTGTTAGGGGAATGCATGGCTAACTCACAGGTTAAACCCTGAAACAACCTCAGGGTTGATCTAAGTCAGGGCATGTCTAACTCACACATTGAACCTGCTGAAACAACCTCTGGGCTGATCAAAGTCAGGGCACGGCTAACTCACAGATCGAACCCTGAAACAACCTCTGGGCTCATCCAAGTCAAGGCATGGCTAACTCGTTGGAGAAACTGGAAAAATACCCTTGAATCAAGGGAGGTACCTAAAAAATTCTACAGACACGCGATACTGAGCACAAGTCAACCTAAAACCTCAGAGGGGAGACAAGAAAATTATGGCTATGCCACCCTTTATTCTTTTCTCTAGACACATTTTTGTTTAACTTCTCTTTTTTTACAGACTTCAATCATAAATCGAGCAGCACTCGGTCTGTTACCACCAAAGACCTTACCTGATAATTTAAAAAATTCTCTTCTGAAGGTATGGTTAATAGAAATACGGGGTGTCGGGGTGTCGAAAAAATTAATTTTATCTAGTGGATAAATCAGTTTGATTCTAACAGCCTCGACTTATCCAATGGATATTAGGGTTTATTACACATTTAGGTTCAATACCAGTGTGATAGAGCTGTGAATAAAACCATATTAGTGAAGAGATATGATATGACTTCACAGTGAACTAGAAACTGTGAGTTTCGTTATCATATTGACCCTAAATTTGTAATAAACAAATTATTACATGTTAAGAGTCTGATATCTTAATCAGTTTTTTAATCACTTGTTTCCCATATCATATTGCTCAATTGCTCAAGGACTTGCTCGTTTGCTATATGATCTGGAAACTGGTGAATAAAAAGGATATCAAACTTTAAACATGTGATAATTGATTATTAAACATTTGACACAAGTTATCTCTTTTTTTTGATCTAAAAGTATACTTTCAGATGGCACGCAGCTTCTGTGGCCCTGCGTATCAACACAGGTATCCCATGCAAGAATATCCAAAAACAGAATATCCAATATTTTCTGCTACAATTAATTCACTTTCCTTAGTTTTAAAACAGGGTAATATATTTAAGGGTAATCTAAKTTTATATTAACCATTCCACGGTTGAGTTTGCATTGTAGCTCATTAGATAGAGCATTTTCACTCACGTGAGAAGGCAGCCATAAACAATTATAGAAACTTTCTGCACAGTATTTGCATAAAAATAGAGTTCAATTCCCGGAGGATAGAAAATGTATTGCTTTGGTACCCCCTAATGGCCGCTGTGACGTCACGTGAAAACGCTCTATGTGAATAGACCTCCTCAGCTCGAGCCTAATATTTTCCTATTTCAGACCATCGTGTCGTTCCAATGAGAATAAGATTCTTTGTTTGAGTTGTATCCATATTCACATGTCTTTTCATGTGCAAACAAGCGCAAACATTGAACAAGGAAATGATACTCTAGGGAATGAAGTGGTGTGAAATGGCAAAACATTATGCCCAAGCTGAGAAGGTCTGGTTTTTGTGATTGTCCTTTTACTTGTGCATCCCTTGAAAGTTTTACACCAGCACACCAGAGGTCCCACTTTTCATCACATAGTTTTCATCAAAAATTTAATATTTGACAGGTTTTTGAGAATGTAGCATCCAAACTAGCACCGTGACCCCTAATTTTCATTTCATGTTTATAGATTGCGCCAAAAGGGCTTACAGAGGTAACTACTATGGCCTGTGGAACATGTGCAAATGAAAATGCCTTGAAAGCAGCATTCATCTGGTACAGGGTAAGTAGAGAGGGACTATCATGACACATACGAATGAAAGAAAGGTTGGCTCATTCATAGCATTTTTCACGGTTACTAAAAATAGATATTGCAAAGCCTTGTGGGATTGAAAAGTGGACAAATAAAGGCTTCCATTATGTGGAAAAGAAGAATAATATCAGTTGAAAAACCATAGTGTTCTTCCATGAATTGGAAACAAAAAGACTACAATTAAAACATTGTTGCAGCATGTTGGCATGTGCACTGGGCTTGGCTGCTGTATCTCAAGCCCATGATGAACAATTGTGACGTCATCCGTGGACAACGTTATGGAGACAAAATCCCAAATAGTGATAGGGCTAGATATATGTATCAGTATATTAGCAGGAGCTGAACTAGGATTGGCCCAAGCATGCGAATAAGACTTAAGGCGAATACTGACTCCTCTGATTATTTTGTCGTAGAACAAAGAGAGGGGAGATATTAATCCAACGGAGGAAGAAATGCGCACCAGTTTGTTAGGAAAGGTAAGGCTTACAACAAATAATTAAGGGGTCTTACCTATTTACCTGCCACGGTTGCTGTGTGGAAAAGATAAAAAGCCTCTAAGATAGCTTTTCTTATGTTTTGCACTACCCTTGCATAAAAACAAATTTGTGAAATGGATCACTTTCTGATAATAAATTATGTGTGATGACATCATCACTCTTACTGCACGTAATTTATGGTGTCATATTTCATAAGAAATTTTAAAAAAACAAGCCGGCATTTGGTTGGTTTGAACCGAAAATAAGCAAACTTTAGCTGAGATGAATTGAAACAAAGTTAAGCATGGGTTTTACACTACATTAAGCAAAAAATGGGGAAATATCATTATTAAAAATTTTCAATATGACTTGGTAGCTATAGCCTGGCTTTTTTACCGTTTAAAAAAAGAAAATGATTGGTCGTCTTTTTACAGAGGGATAAAAACTGGCAAACCTGTTGATTTCTCCAAAACGTCTATAACTATTAAATAGACTCCTTGAAGCACGTCAGAATGCAGCTCAATTTGGAGGACATAACAATAGGTTTCTATGTCCTACAATTTGAGCTGCTTTGAGATCACATGCAATGGGTCTAGTATATTTTCTGGAACTGTCAGCTAAATGAATATAATACTCTGGTATGCTTACAATATTCAATATTATGTTAATTGCTTTTCATTGCAGCCTCCTGGCTCTACCCCATATACAGTTATGTCATTCCAGGGTGGATTTCACGGCAGAACTTTAGGTATGTTTACCAAGACGTCCTTATTTAATCATATCAAGACCTAGTATTCCAAAGAAAATACTTCTGCAATACATCAGAGTATACACTGAAAGTTGGTAAACGAAATTTGTCAAAATGTGGGATGTATAGATTTGACTGTAATTTTTTTTTTGCTTGAGCATAATATTTTTTCCATTTTGACCGCATGTTATTCTCTTAAGTATTATTTGAATCTTTTTTACTGATATTGCTTAAATGAATAAAATGGCATCTATTTTCATAATTATGCGAGCTGACCAATCCCAAGACTTAAGGACCTTGATCACATGCTCACATGATGAGCAAGCTGTTTCAATCAGTAGCAGTAACGTGGAAGAGTGTTGTACATATGTTTGATATTTTGTTTACCTTTCAGGGGCTTTAACCTTGACCCGTTCCAAGCCGATCCATAAGGTTGATATTCCTTGTTTTGATTTTCCTGTCGCTCCATTCCCCAAACTGAAGTACCCACTGGAAGAATTCACAGCAGAGAACGAAGCAGAAGAAAAACGCTGTTTAGAAATCGTAAGTGCGTTATCCTTCTGTCCTTATGTATGTCTGTCTCTTTTATTTCATTTATTTATTCACTAACTTTACAACTAGATAATTAAATCTAATTGAGGGCATGGCCAACAGGACAAAAGTCCCATGTAAAGTCTGTTTGCATATTCTTTTGTCTATTGCATCTCCTGTCTGTGTGTCTGTCTTGTCAATCTCTCAACATAACCTATAAACCTAAATTGTTGTAATTCAAGGTATCTGAAATGATTCATGAATGGAATCAAGCTGGCAAGAATGTAGCAGCTCTTATAGTTGAACCTATTCAAGCGGAAGGAGGTGAGCAGGCTCTGCATATCCTCATGCATTCAGTGCATTGCAAGACAGTGTTGCCTAAACACTCACACAGGGCCAAACATAATGGCTTGTCAGATGCTGATCATGATGACTGTCTTAGCTTTTAGCTTGGTCATTCAAAAATGACTGGCAAGGCATGGGTTTGGCCCTACAAGTTCAAATTCTTACCTGACATTGTTTGATGGGCAGCCATTATTTTTAGTGGACAGACATGAGTACTTTCTCTTTTTAACATACACTGTCATCACAAGGTTGCCTTTCATATTGGAATGTAAAAATAGCATTACTGATGTCCAGATGAGACGATATTAATCTGATGCAGAGTGGCTTGATAACGATGGCACATGCTTTAGTGCTGCCTTAACTCCTTCATATTGAACTCACTTGCTTAACCTCTTTATGACACAAACACTTGCTAAAGTTTTTAGAGCATGACATGTTACTAGGACAGCAAAAGAGATTAATAAAAATGATATTTCATTTCCAGGTGATAATCATGCTTCGCCCATGTTCTTTCGTGGACTGCAAGCGATCTGTAAAGAGGTGGGTATAAAGGGGCTAAATGAAGAGGAAGACACAGCTTTTAAATTCCCTGCTCGAAGCTGCATCTACTTGCAATTCTGATGATCAGCAAACTCATATGATTTTATTTGTTTACCCATTTTCCTTGTAGTTTAGTTTCAGAAAATATCCATACCCTATCCACAGAGGGAATTTGTAAAAGGACACCCCTAGCCCCAGGAACTTCCAATTTTCCTCCATACAAACTCTATAATTTTGTTCATTCTCTGAACCCCCTCCCCTCCAGAATTTCTAATTTCCTCTGTGGGGTGGGGTATGGATATTTTCTGGAACTATGCATTGCCATGATTTCCAACTTCCAACTTAGCAAGCAGTGAGAGTGACTGACATATCTTTGACTTGCCATTTCAGTTTGGTACAGCTTTTATTGTAGATGAAGTGCAGACAGGATGTGGTGCGACAGGGAAATTCTGGTTAGTCAAATCTCAACTATATCGTAAATATTATAGATTATTATTATTTAATAGATTATTACAGACTTTTCATTAATGATATAATGCTTTGTACAATTTAAAACATAATTCAGTCAGAAGACTGCGATGTGTTGGATTTTTAAACAAACAATTTATCTATTTATCTAAGTTATAACTTATTTAGTTAGCTATTTGAACCCCATTACACATAGATCCAATCGTTCCTGCCTCCTGTCATGGCTGCCATCATATGATGGTGCAAAGCCTCTAATTTGCTTCTATTGTTTGTTGCTGTCATGTTGATATAATTCACAGGGCTCATGAATACTGGAATCTCGAGACACCTCCAGATATTGTGACTTTTTCCAAGAAGATGAGTACTGGTGGATACTATCAAAAAGCTGAATTCCGACCTGATGCTGTAAGTTTGCCTGGTGGAAGTTTTTTCACCTTCAGCTGCATATCTAACTCTATCTAACTCTTGTTTGACTTAGGCAATTGTTGAAAAATACCCCAAAAAATCACGTAGGCCGTTTTCATTTTAACCCCTTCAATTGTCCATTTTTTTTCTTAGAAAAAGTTTCTGATGTAACAAAAATATTCACATCTTTCACATTTTACCTTTTTTTCAAAAGTATCGATTAGATGCCTCATGATTTCATCACTGAGTAGATTGACTTTCCCTTTTTATTTCGTAGCCATTCCGTATCTTCAACACTTGGATGGGCGACCCAAACAAGTTGATCATCATACGTGAAGTTATTAAGATCATCGAAAAGTATGATCTTGTAACCAACGCTTATAACATTGGGGAAAAGTTAATAGGAGGACTCAAAGATTTAGAGGTAAGTAGATCTTAATATTTCAAGCAGCTACAAAACACAATCAAACTTATACACCTATTTCAATAAACGTTGTCATTGCCAAAGGCGGATTAGGCGATAGGCGATGGGTCATTCCGACATGGAAATGGTTTCGTTGAATATAAAGAACATTCAATTTCAACACTTTCTTGACGAGAATAAGAAGCAGAAACACAAGTCATTCTAGCTATTCTTGGATCTTGCAATGACCTATATCTTTTAGTAAATGAGTCTTTAATCAAGGAACACAGCGGTAATTTGGAACTCGAAAAGGGTCTATTGTCAATGGATTCTCATCCAACATGACTGCCGTGTTATTTCACTGTGCTCAACAGAGGTTTGTTGCTAATAGGGGTTGGTCGCTTAACGGTCGGAATTATAAATTATCGTCGACGCGCGGAATTTTACCACCCCACTTCCCATCTTATTTACTGAGAAATAATGATGGCTTCCTAAATATTTTTACCTTTTTTCAACAGAATACATATCCTGAACTTTTTTCCAAAGTGCGTGGAGTTGGAACATTTTGTGCTTTTGATCTTTGTGATGTGGCTACAAGGACAAAGTTCTTGGCTAATGCAAGGAATAGGGGTATGGGCTTCCTATGGTAGAGCTGCGATCCCATTGGATGAGCAGAATCTTTTGAGCTGCCTGTGGACACAAAGTAACGTTGCAGATTGTTCTGGGTGTCCATCACCCCTACAGCGTTTCTTGTGTGCATGTGTGGACATTTATTGCGATCTTTCCCCGGCCCCTCGCATATAACGTCCCATCGTTTATCCGCGCCTTTACAGAGATGGACCTTCTCAAGCAGCCGGCAGAAAACCTTGATAAATTCATCCGTGCAAAATATTTCTTTCTGACTACACTCACGACTGACTTCGTAAGATTAGTTTATTTTGGGATGTTTGCCAGTCAGCACAGCGTGCTAATTCGTAACGCAAACCTTGATAAACTCACACGCACAAAATATTTTAATATTCAGTCAAGTAAATAAAAGATCCACAGGAATTTTATCCATTACGTATAAGCCCCTTGATTGTGACGTCAAAGCAGCTCAATTTGGAGGATAAAACAAAGGAATTTTAATATCAACAGAAATTGAAACCTATTGTTATGTCCTCCAAATTGAGCTGCATTCCGACGTGCTGCAAGGGGTCTATTTAATCTCATACGATCGAGGCTCGGCACACATATCCAACATACGTTCCCCACGGTCATACCACATCTGCTTTTGTCAAATGAACATTTTTTTTCCTAGGCGTGGACATGGATGGGTGTGGCACAAGCACTATCAGGTTCCGCCCAGCCCTCATTTTTGGTCAAAAACACCTTGATATCCTTCTTGATACCATGAACAGCGCTGCGAAGGACCTCGTAGATAGCAAACGTTCCACTGCAAACTAGGTTTCTTATACTTTCCTCCCCGGCCGGCATTAGTCTCGGTCCAGATCCCTCTCCACGTAGCTTGGACCGAAGGATTATAAAGTCCTGAAACCCAAACCCTTACCTTTACCCAAACCCCCCAACAAACCTAACCTTAAACTTCATTACGGAATAGTGTCATTTCATGTAGTCTTAAATAATGTAGTAATGTACCAAATCCGTAAAAAAAAACCAATTGTTGAAAAGTTTATATTCTTCTGGAAAAACGCCAAGAAAGACAGCTTTTAAAGTATTTGCATTTCTATAACGTATAAAGAAGGGGAAAATGTTAAATACGTGTTTGTTTGTTACAACCCCCTTCCAGGGGAAGGGTCACTGGCCTCGTCACTTGCGCTTTCTCGTATAGCACATTTATACATGCCTCTCAATGCGTTTTGCAGTCTTAATTTTCCCGCACAATGTACGGATCATTCTGTAATCCCACCCATACATATAAACTTTGCCTCTAGGTATTCTTGGTTTTCACCTACGTCATCATGGATTTCAAAAGCGTAAATTCGCATTATAATGAAACAGAAGTTTTATATTCTTGTAAAGCGGTCCAAACTACATATACTGGTTAAATTTTAGGGCTGTAAAGCATTTCGTTGAGGAACTATAGGCGAGTAAACATGACGCAATTTTTGGTTAAAATGTATGGAGCGGCCATCTTGGTGTTCCAAGTTGGTACACCATCATGGCGGACGAAATTCTAAAGGCTTAAAATGATGGAATATTTAATACGTTTGACTATTTTTCACTTACACATACTTTAAATAGATATTTTAAACGTGTCTAAGGGAAAATCTTTCAACTAATGTAAATTATTTTAATATTTTCATCGCTATTTAGATAGATGTGACGGTATTGCGTGACACAAACTCAACCTTTATAACTCGGGAACCAAACATCGAAATGACACGAGATTTTTTCTTGTGACTTATAACACTGACTACTAAAACATACTTGAGAATTGTCCTCATACGATCTATAGTTTAGATTTTGATGTTTTGATGATGTCATGTGAAAACCAGCAATTCCTCTAGGCCATAATTGGATCCTTCTCGACCAAGGCCAGACGGCTTGAACCCACCGTAGGGATGGATCTCACATATGATGTTTCCTTCGTCGACTCCGATGATTCCCGCCTTGATAGCTTCAGCTGCTTGCCAGATTTGACTGTAGTGTCACGGCGGGAAATGTCACGCAATAGAATTTCTGACAACTCCCGTACGAATAACAATCGCGATTGTTATTCGTACGGGAGTCGCGGTTCAGTGAGTATTTACCAACATTTTCCACTCCCGTACGAAGTATTCGCGATTGCTATTCGTACGGGAGTTGTTCAGCGAATATATACCAACATTTATCACTCCCGTACGAATTATTCGCGATTGTTATTTGTACGGGAGTCGATTCAGCCTCTGGGACCAGGGTAGTTACGCAACATCTTTAAGAATTTATTTTGAGGATCTGAACCAATTTTAAGTCCACTACAGCGGTTGTCAAAAATACCGCTAAAGCAGAACCAACGCAGACCAAAAGGAGAGGCTCCTGTGTTAAGATAATTTTATACACCTTTTGCCAGTGCCTGCGCAACTAGCGGTCAGCACTCAAAAATTGAATCTTTAAAGTTGATGGAAGCTGGGATGATCAAATGGAACACAGACTTCGAAAGCAAACGTCATCATTAGAGCCTGCGATCAAGGTGGTCAGCAAATAGTACCTTTCCGGCGGTAGCCGTTGAACCTATGAAGGATAACTTCATTCCAGCCACGTCCAAATAACATCCAATTTATCTCAATAGCATCTTAACAGAGGAAAATTAGTCGTAAAAATCTGTAACGATCCACACAGTCACCTATAGACACGATGTATGCAGTCCTTTGAAAAACCTTTGCCGCTGACCGGCTTCACAGGACTTCAACCAGTGCTACGATCCAAAACATAAAAAAACAATTTTGCATTTATTTTTTCAAAATTTCATAATAGAATCACTAGTTAATTATAATAAAATAAAAATCATAGGATAAAAGATGCAAATTCGGCGTAAAAAACGTCTTTGTTCCGTACGATCCATCCAACCGAAATCCAGTCCATTCCATCTATGTACGGTTCCAGATTTTCCAAAATTAAAAAACACTCGAAATTCGGGCATTTAGAAGAGTAAAACAAGTTTTAGAAGTTGGGCATGTTTTTGCTATATAGTAAGATTATCCATGGCCTTTCAAAAGGTGAAAATTCAAAACTTGCAGCTTAGTCGTAAAATACCTTTTTTTCACTGGGTTGCCTGTGGTGCCCAAAATACCTTAAAATGAGATCGAGAACTTCAGAACGGTTAGCGAAAAACATTTAACCAATTAAACATATTTATAAAAACGAATTTATGTCGCTTATTTGGCCATGTACCTTGAAATAAATATGATTATTTCGTCGGCTCTTTAGGTCAATTTTAGCTGTTGTTGTCCGTCAGTGAAATTTTAGATGGAGCCTATTAAAAGTCATTGATGCCGGTAACGCAACGCTGTTTTCTCCAGTTACAAAACCGCTGTAGTTTTACTAATCGAGTGTATTCCACTTCACTGGTCAAAAGATATACAAAAGCGGTCCATTTTTATTAAAATAAAACACATTTTAAAGGTGTACACATTTGAATAAATTTGATGAGAAAAAATAAGTGTTCGCAAGTTCTGAAAGAAAAATACACTTAAAATGTTCCGAATAACCCGCTCCTGCAAAATAGCGGTACATAACAAAGATTAGGTGTTAAATAAGCTCCAGCATACCTACACATTGGGCAACCCAATGCACGTTCCAAGAGCGTCTTGTTTTACTCTAAGCAGGCATATTAGAATGTCTATTATGAGTTGGACATCTTGATGGTAGCCCGAGTAAACGCACCAAAGTGCGTCTAGTTAACGGAACAAAAGAAAGTGTGCAAGGAAGTCTGTTAGTAAATGACGCCATCATGCAAACGAGAAATACAACAAAGGAACTATGATAGACCAAAAATTTAGTATATAACAATTCTTTTAATAGTAGTATTCATAATTGGAGTATTTTTTTTACAGTTTCAATATGTTCGTAAAAAGATTTTTCCGACGATCAAGTTCATGTTAACTGCACATATTTTCCATGACGCTAGGTCAAAGTTCATATTATTCAGATTATTGTCATGCTGTTCTTTCGTCGAACCACAGCAAGCCCAATTTTCATAAATTTGGACCAAAAATAAGTGGCCGTGGTAATTTGAGTTGTGGGTGAATTAAGAATGCGAAGTGCATATTTACTGTAGATATGCATAGTGAGTAAGCAGAGGACCAAATAGGAATGAAATGGAAAAACAAAAGCGCCGAATGCAATATCTGCGTTTGACGAATTCAAAAACGTACCCATCTAGAGGTTCTTTAAATTTCGCGACAACTTCTGAAATCAGTATTAATTAATTATTGAGGCAAATCAGAGGAAGATCACGATAGCCATTTCAACGTTTCTGTTTTATAATTATGACAAATAGTCAATTTTATCAAGGACTATTTCAGCATGACGTGGAGTGAAGATGAGAGCCGGGCGGAAGCGAATTGTATTCACGCCAGATCCATCTATTTCGATTCCTATAGAAAAAAAGAAAAGAAAATCGATTAACAATGAATTCAGACGGTTACAGAACCATGCATAGGGATCCCAAGAGAAATTTTTCTCGTACCGCAAGGAAAAGCCTTTCTGGTTTCCAGACCTTCTCGCGCTTGCAAACACGACGGTAGTATGAATAAGATAAGATTCCATATTTTTCAAAACGGGGTTTCAGATTTTAAAAAAATATGAAAAAAAAGGAGAATGGTATAAGGTTGACCTAACTCCTTACCCTCCCCCTCTGGATTCGTCACTATCCCTCCCCCCTCCCTGCAAGAAAACACGATGTGCCCCTTCTGTTTGCCAACACTTGATACCTTCTTAGGTCAGAGAAAATGACGTCACTTACCATTATTTCGTAATGCCGTAAGCATACCATTCCTAGAATCTACATTAGGTAAGTCTATAGCACAGTACGTTCCCTGACCACGAGCATTCGATAGAAAACTAGAATATCTTGCCTGAAAGTAACAATGAAAGAACGTCAAAATGCCAGTTTACTTAGAAAGAAATCTCGTACCAAGTGCCCTTCAGCGTCCACGTCTTCCCAGCTTTGTCGATAGCAACTGGGGAGACTTTTTACCGGTACCAGCCCGCTGACCAAAATATCCGGAGGAATCTGGGCTCGAGATCGCTTAGGCAGATGAATGGTTTTTGTAGGAAGACTGGTAACGAGTAAGTAGTGCAAAGGACTGTGGGGTTTATTTCAGGACGCGCTATAACATAGCCCAGAATGCCTTGCAGCATAGATTGATAACCAGGATTCCATTTGACTAAAGAGAGGCGAATATCCTACCTCTAGGTCCTTTAGACCATTCAGCAGTGCTCGCCCAGCATTCTGGGTAGATTCTGCAAGGTTATCCTCATTAATGACTTTAATGACTTCGCGTAGTAAAAGAATCTTGCTTGGATCTCCCATCCATGTGTTAAAGATGCGAAAAGGCTGTGAAAATATAGCGTTTTAGAGGCTTTTAGCTTTCTAACGGCTCGTTGCAGGTGTTGCAATATATCACGAACCCGTGATATGGTTCTGTAAATTTTCGGAAAACGAGATTGAAAGAGATTGAAAGAACTGAGATCCCAGTTACAGGGAAGTAGGGTACCCTTGGTTACAGGAAGGTAGGGACACGATTTTTGTTTTCTATCAAAGGGAAGTTTACAACAACAACAACAGTGAACGAAAAAAGGGCTAAAACTTGTCTCGTCTTATCTCTTTTGTATTTTCTTATTGGTAGGCTCCCTGTGTCTATAATAATTTCGACTCGGACTCCCTCTTCCGAAACCTTCCACAGGACCCCCGGAGAAGAAAAGATGACCTCTAGGGTAGCTAAAATCAGTGACTAAGCTATAAAGTGTTGTCCGAGTGCTCACCACGTTTGGCCTGAACTCAGATTTGCAGTAGAATCCACCAGTGCACATTTTCTTGGCAAAGGTCACAATATCTGGGGGCTCATCCAGACCCCAGTGTTCATGGGCCCTGAAGAAAATGTTTCATTTTAAAATGTTTTTTTCTGAAATATCATGTTAAAAAGGAAAACAATCTGATTCTATTAGCAATTCTGAGGTTGAGGAAAAACCGGGTCGAGTTGCTATTTAAGGGACGAAATGGACGCCATCTTGGAAATATGCAATGCTGCAATGCAAACTGGGCCCAGTTTGTTCCTCAACATCGGAAAGGCTTATAGTACTGATCTATAGGGATCCAAAACTCGAGAGCAAACGTTTTGTTATTCTTCGTCATTACATGATTCATTCCATTCAAGAGGTTGAAATTAATTGCATTGTATCTTTGTTTTGTATTTACCAGAATTTTCCAGTTGCGAGGCAACCAGTTTGAACTTCGTCCACAATGAAGGCTGCACCATACTTCGATAAAACGAAACAAACGATGAAGTTAAATTACAATATTGTTTTGTTGATACTAGGATATTTTTTTCCGGCGTTACAAGTAAGTAAATTTTACGGTTGAGTTTATTGACTAAGGACCAATGTGCACTGAGAGGTCACATGACCATGGACTTTGGAGGAAATACGTCATAATCAAATTAGTCGTTTACTGAAGCCCTTGGATAAGAAGTTGTGAGATAAACGTTACCTCTTTTCCAATGTTCTGTAGTCCTTTGAAGAACTCAGGAGACGCGTGACGGTCACCTGGCATCAAAAGAAGCAAACTTAATGAAAAACAAATTCTTTTACTTTGGCTGAATATTTTTCCTTCTTTTGAAATAAAACTCTTTGCATTTCATCCGCAAAATGTACCTTCTCAAGGGTTACCAGTAAAGAAAGAAACAACACTCAAGGGAATGACACTTGGTTTTAAGTGGGCCAGAACTAAACATTACGCGCCCAGGCTTTCTAAAAATCTGTATGTCTCTTGCTTCTATCCCAGCATGTCTCGCGGTCAGCTTAAGTGAGTAACGGGGAGTGGTGTTTGGCATGAGTCTACAATATTCCCAAACTAAGAGGCCTCTTTATTCCATGGAAAACTTTAACTCCAATTTTTCTCATAGCCTTATTCTCGACCCCAAAATCCCGTCTTCGTTCTTACTGCGCGTGCACGCCGACACAGTTCTCGAGCATGCGCAGTAGTTTATAGTAACAGTTACCTCCTTCTCCTTGAATGGGTTCCACCAAAATACCAGCCACGTGTTTACCAGCCTTGTTCCACTTGGTGATCAATTCACGCACCTGTAACAAGACATATGCTTTCATTAGGTGCATGATTTGGGATACCATTTCACATATGACACTTCATGGGATACCTGTGGTGACATTGTTAAACATTATGATATACTCTCGACTCCAGATCCCAGTTATCATTTTTACTGCGCATGCTCTCATGCGCAGTAAGAATTACAGGTTTCTGAGATTGATTGGAGATAGTGATTATGATACTGCATGGGATACGTTTGGTTCACAAATCACTCTCGACCCCATACCCCCGTGTCATTCTTGGCGAACACGGCACAGCACAGTATAGCATGTCCGTACCTATATCGTAAATATTCTTCACAGTTGTGCAAATCCACATACATTCTAATATTATTGTTTTTTTTTTGTTCACCTCATCCAGGCAGCGCTGCTCTTCAGCTGTGTTTTCTCGAACGTTTTCTTCCAAAGGATACTTTAACTGAGGGAACGAGGCTGCTGGCCAATCAAAGGCTGGTAAATCTACCTTGTGAATCGGCTTGGAATGGGTTGCTGTGAGGGCACCTGATGAGGAAACAAAAGACAGATCACTAGTCAGGTTAGTACAACTTATCCTTCTTAATGGCGCGAACAAGTTCTTTTATATGCTCTGCTTTAGACTCCCTTTCTCATGAGGACTTTCTTTCTGAAGACCTTAGCACCCACATGGAAAGGATTGTGCTGGCGTTGCTCTGTTTACTGGAGGCCATATATTCTTTGCTACATATTGTAGGTTTGCACCGCTCTTATTTTTTACACGCTAACCAAAATCATAGCGATTGCGTATTAGGACAAGGTTATATGCGTTTTTTGGAAAACATCTTTCTTAGTTTGCGGTTGTGCGGTTTTGCGGTATCATCTACAAGTGCCGAATTTTAACTTTTTTTTTCGGTTTCATTTGCGGATTCTGAGTTTGAAAATCTTTTTATAGCGACTACCGATTTACTCACCAAACGTTCTCCCATGGAATCCTCCTTTGAAGGAGAGGATGGAAAGAGAAGTAGAACCTGGGCTCTGTTAATAAATAAAAAAATCGTTTATTTAAAAAAAATCAGTTTGATCAAAATGAGCACTCAGGTTCTAGCACACACATATATGGACACTGGGAGCACTTTCCATTTACCCGGAAAAACCGCAAAATTCCGGTTGGAAACATAATGGTATGTTTCATATGTGTCATTCCGATCGGAAAGTTAAGGAAACCTCGGTCTTCCGATTGAGGTAATCCACTTTTCCCGCTCTTTTTGGTTCTTCCGGTAGACGCGTGTACCATTTGTCAAATTTTCCCGCTCTTTTCTCTTGGACCAACCGGATGGATTGGTTTAAACAGAAAGCACCCTCAGTCACACAGTTCTCATCCTTCCAATTTATTCACCCAAATATAATATTGCTGTCAATTACTTGGATTTTGGAAATTTTGCGCCTTCAAATGGAGCAAGTATAAGACCAACTAATAGCGAAATAAATTCGATATGTATCGTATAATAAAATAAGGAAAACTAATCTTACTTGATTCATTACACATGATTCCATTTCTTCGGCTGTGGGATTTGGGTCTCCTCGAACTCTTGTCTAAAATATCAAAAAAAAAAGTGCGAAATCTTCTAAAGTTGACCATGTCGCACAAAAATACGTTGAAAGCTGTTCTACTTTTTTGTGCTGATTTTTTTTTTTTTTTTTTTTTTGCGTGGAAGGTAGAAATTAAAGAGGGAAATTACGTGCGCAAATTCGACTCTCTTCGAATATCCTCTAAGAGTTGCAAGGCCTCAGACTTAAGGCGTGATTGCACGGAGCAATTTTTCTGCAACTTGTCTCGCAACAGCGTTGCGGCATGAGTTGCAATAGTGTTCATACGACAATCGTTGCCAAAAGCAGAAACGAATTTTACTTTTGACGATTGCTACAACTTGTCTCGCAACATTTTTTTTTTCAAATTGCACTGTAGTTTACACGCTGCAATGCTCCACGCAACTGCGTTACAAGTTGCAGAGAAAATTGCTCCGTGTAAATTGCGCCTCAAAAGGTGCAGCGAAAATGTGCAACAAATTCGTGCAACTTGTTTCGTGACAGAACAACTCAAAAGTGTTTCATGATTGACAACAGAAGTTGCAAGGTGTTTTTGCTCGTAGTTTTTGACAGTTTCAACTAACCTTATACCGAAACATGGCGGCTTTCATGGCATTTTCTACAGAGCATGCTCCACAAGCCATCGTTGTCACTTCGGAAAGACCAGGAGGGGCAACCTAGGAAAAACATTTGTCAATAGGGATGAGAACTAAACGTGTACACTACAGTGACTCCAGAGTTTTCCTCTGCGCCAATTAATAAAGAATTTCTGCTGAACTATAATGGCAAGGACGACTCCAAAATAGGTAAGTTAGAGGGTGCCCGATAGAAAGTGTTCCTTTTTGCAGAGGGAGGAAAACTGGAGAACCTAGAAAAGAACACTCTCAACAAGCAACTCTTTTCAAGTATGACAATGGTTACAAGTGACACTAAACACGAGATGGTGGCATCAAAAGACAGAATATTATCCCCATAAATGTAAGACATGCAAGCATTTGCAGTAACATTTTCTTCTTCTTCAATTTTTTTTACACTATTACTTACTGAAAGTAGAGAATCCTTTAAGTCTTGAGGGAAAGATGCAGGAGGTAGAATACCAAGAGCTGAGCGGTTGACTAAAGTAGACTAGAATAATAATAAAAAACTTGTAAGAGAGATTACGCAGAATCACCATTTTTCAAAATTTAGGACGTTTTCATAACAAATAATAAATAAAAACTTTAGTGTCATCAGCAAAGGAAGCTGATGTAGGGTCATCAGAAAACCTGTGTCAGCAAAGATGTAATAATAATAAACATAATAATATTATTTAACCAGAGGATTCACAATAAGTGAGGCCCTGCAAGTCATTTGTTCAAAGCTGTACACTATTTTACTGAGAATTGTTTTTTGACATGTTGATGTATTTGAAACAGAATTCATGCTGTTTCTAATGGAAGGATTACATAATCAACTTAAACAACTACATACTACATTAGCAGGATCGTGAATGGCTCTGATGAGTGCTGGATGATTATAACCTATCAAAACAATAATATTACAATAAAATCTTATTAAAGACATGCAATATAAGGCTTAAAAATTAGCTGAAAAATTGAAAATTACATTTGCATGTGTAGAGCCACTTCTCACACTTCCCCATGGGACCTTGTGCTTTCTTACTAAGTTTCCCCACTGGGAAGGAGGTGTGTAAAGTCTCTCCTATCTCCTCTTTTTTCCCTTCAGGGGAGGGGTGTGTGAAGTTGCTGTACACAGAATACTTCAGGCCAGGCAGGTACAAACCTAAAGGAACCGATGCAATTTGCTGATAGACATCCAACATTACATTACCATCAGCATCAACTATATAATTCCCACGGCATTTATCATAATCTACAAAGAATTTTGTAGCATTGGACTGCTGTTGAAGACACACACAAAAAAAAGTGAAATTCAGTATATCTGGTTTGCTATCACTCCCCTCCCCCACCCCTCCCCCCCAAAACAATTATTCATATGGATGAATGTTTAATCACTTGATAAATCATATGCTAAATTCAACCAGAAATAGTAACATAGTCTTATTTTGTTGTTATTAATATGTATAAATGTATATAAGTATTAATTACTGCAAGTGGAAACATTGTACAAAAGTACTAAGGGAGGGGTGGGTGAGGGACAAATGTGACTGAGGGGGTCGAGTGGGGGTCCCTATTTTTTAATTTTAAAGATATTTTGGTTTTACCTGTATTTCTGATAAGTCTTTCATTAGCTCCTGTGAGGAAAAAAAAAAGTTTTCTACTAGATATTGTACACTTGCAAAAGAGTCCATCAAATGAGGCAAGGAACAGGAGATTTTGTCAAAGGCTGTACCTCTGATCTTGGTCCTGGTACTGGAGTCTTCATTTTTGGATGATCATATTCTTCATCATATGCTAAAGTTCTCAATGACATCACTCTAGAAGATCTACTGATTACACCTTAAGTGTCGCAAGTAAGAGAGAAAGATAGGTTAGAAATTCGTCATTATCCATCCTCGGAAATTAAAATTCAATCTTGACTTCTAAATGTGCAAATATCGTTAAAGTGACCTGACTTGGACAAAAATGATTGCGAGCTCAGAACAAAGGTACTCCAAAAATAATATTGTTATTGTTATTGTTTGCAAACGTGTCATGGATTCCATTTTAAGCTCAATTGCTGAGAAGTCGTAAGGCGAGCAGCAACACTAATCTTGACACAACAGTTATTGCATGTTGGGAACCCTGTGGACTGTATGCAAGCAAAATCTCGAATTTGGAATTGGAATTGGAATTTTGGAATTTGGATGCTTGGAATATGCTCGGGCATCAGTCGTGTCGTACGTGTCTTCGGAGAATGCTCGGTAAATACTCGGCTTGGCTGCAGCACATATGGATTGCGGAGTTAGTTTTGTTGAGTTAGTTTAATTTTACAAAACATAAATCATATAAAGAAAGAAAGAACTATTGTACATTACGTCGAAAGCACGTTTTCGTTGTGGGTTGCAGGCAGGTTTTCAGGTTACAGAGTTCGGTGCACGTGAGCGAGGTATTAAGTCTTTCTTTAGCCGAGCTTCAGTCACATTTCACGGGGAAGGCAATGTTCTTTCATCAGTTTTTCAGCCCTGTTTCAAGTATCTTGGTGCCGGTTGTTGGTAAAATGTGGTCTTGCATATATCCGCAGCACTTCACTTACATTATGTAACAACTAGTCATTGATTATAGAACTTTATGCCTTTACAACTGAAGCTTAACCCAGGATTTAGGAGTTTTGTAAAATTAAACTCGTTTGACCATATATCGAACTGATTAAAGTGATCTAGCAGTTGTATGTCTATACTAACCATTACAGAAGGCCAAGGAGCATCGTTTTAAGATGACGCGATGGATATTTCTCGCAAAATATTTTGTTGTACACAACAACGCCATTTTGTATTCTTGGTAAATAACAGACACGTGATGTATGGGATACCTGTGTCTTTGGTGGGAAGCCTACTTCCGGTCAAATGTCGGCGTTTGCAAAAAAAAACTTCTATTTTTTAAAAATTTTGTTTGTTTTAAACTTCATTCTGCTATTCTTTTCTCTTTAATTTGTAGGGTAAACTTGATCAATTATCGCGAGATAAAAGAAAGAAAGTTGGACAGAAAGAGAGACAAGAAAGAAAGAAAGGAAAGATAGAAACCAAAAGGAAACAGAGAAAGAAAGAATATCAAAGAAGAGAGAGAAAAAAAAAAAAGGNAGAAAAAAAAAAAAGGTAACAAAAAAAAAAAAGAAAAGAAAAAGGAAAGCGTAAGAATAAAAACACAAAGAGAAACGAGAAAACTATGTGTTTTAAAATATTCAAAAATATTTAAAGGTATTTTGTTGATAAAAACAGCCTTGTATTTCAAATGAAATTTGAAGCATTATTTGTACAAACTTCTCTTCTGTTTATCTTTTTGTTTATCTTACTGTATAATCTGTCTACCTGTGTGTCTGTCTGTCTGTCCCACTATCTATTAATCTGTCTATCTTCTGTCTGTCCATCCATCCCTTCTCTTTAAATCTAATGATCATTGGCTTCATGTCTTCTATATCTCCAGTTAGGATTTTCATTGCATTGTATATTTTTACACTGGACTGGAAGTACTTCATCTTTCAATTGCTGAGTTCTAGTCTTTTTTTATGAAATTTAATATTGCCTGCATTATTTACATGAGTTTATTTTGCTTTTCAGTATTCTATAAGATTATCCCCAGGCTTGACTCTTACAGTAATGTAAAACTAGTTTTCCATCAGCTCCAAAACACTAGAATTAAAGAAAAGACAAACGATGAAAAAAAACAACAGATCTAGGAGGATTTCAATGGGGCTGTTGTTACCTAGAAAGTGTCCTTTTAGAGGTTTAATAATAACTGGAAAGGGGGGTGACTAGCCACCCAATTCACTCCCAAGTAATCGCTCCCTATATCAACCATTGATTATAGCATGATGAGCTTAGCTCCTAAAAGATTATCTTTTTAACTGGCTGAGGGCTCTCCTTACTGTCTGTAGCTTTCTTCCACATAAAAATTTACAATACCATTAAAATAAGGCTGTTGAATCTTCATTAGGCTATGGAATGAGTATGCACCAAAAGGAAGACTCTAAGATCACGTTCACTAGGAAACAGCAATGAAATAAAATTAATACTTACTTCATAAAGATTGGAAACAACTTGATCTGGAGAAGGAGCAAATGCTTGTCCAACATACAGAAACTACAAAAATAACAAAAAAAGCTTGTCATCGTTTATCACCACCACAAGTACGCAGTGGCGCAGCTCAAAGGGATCGAACTGAAAGCATGTGAACCTTGGCGTCTCTTGCAGCTGCTATGCAGTCCATGTATGACCCTGAAGCACCTGTCACCCCCGAACCCTGACCCTGTTCCAGAGTCAAAATCGCTGAAATTCATACCCTGTTCCAGAGCAAGATCGCTGAAAACCCTGTTCCAGAGAGGAGAAAGCGTGATTTCATATACCCTGTTCCAGAGCAAGCGCGATTTTATATACCCTGTTCCAGAGTAGAATCGCTGTAAACCATACCCTGTTTGGCGGCACATACCCGTATAGCGAATATAGGGGAGTACCCCCCCCCCCCGGGTTATTGATACCCTGAAACACCTAGCCTCTGGGCTGATCCTGGTCAGCAAGAGCATGGCTAACTTGTGGATCAAATCTGAGTTTATTGTTTTAGGTTTTGCAGAGGGAGGAAAACCAGAGAAAAACACACCACTGTACCTACCAGTGAGTCTGATGGTTCACATCTGATGTACTTCTTTATAAATTCAATCAGATATGCAATCGTTTTAGTTCCTTCGACTGTCCACTTCTTCTTCTTCATTATTGGTGCATCCCCAGCTGCTTTTAGGAGTACTTCAACTAAAATCAGGACAGCACTGCACGTCATATAAGCTCACTGGAGCTCAAATATTAAACTAAGATAACTTCTAAAGATAACTTGGAGTTGGATTAAAAACAGCTAATTCCAAAGGTCCGTTGATTACTATCTTACTTGATTTGAAACCAATGTATATTAATCGACGTCTTTCGATTACTTACTACGATTTATTTCCGTGACTAACTACATTTATAGAATTATCGTTTTGGTTTCAACGTTTTGAGATATTTTCATGAAAGTCTTTTAAGAATACTAAAAAAATAATGTCAACACTTCCTTGGCTTTCCATCTAGAATATAAAACACAATCACTAACCTTTTTGCTTTTCACCATTTTTACTACTATCTGCTTTTGTCTTGGTGCCGTTAGGAGGTACAGTTTGGCGATTTTCAGTTTGTTTTTCTGTACCTTCTAACCCTTTGTCGTTTTTAGCTTCCTCGTCCGCCATCTTGGATTTCTTCAGCTGTCCAGCGGATTACACTGTGGGCTCAATGTCCTGTTTTCAAAATGGCGGCCGGCGAAGCGTTTCTTTGCTGAGTGAGAAAAGGTTTCGAAAAGCGAAAAATCGTTTGACTTTAAAGCCGTCGTTATGCCTCGTGGAGTCAAGGTTGAGCGTCCGGTTTCTACTGAGCCTGTTGAGGTAGTCATTGTAAATTTTTTTATAATATCATGGTTTTTCGCACACTGTCAAGAGTTAACCTAATTAAGCATGCATAGGTCTCTCTCTTCGTCTCTTGTAGCCGCTTTTTCTGAAGAGAAATTCATTGGCCACTAAAGGGCATTATTTGCGTTGCTTTTTATCAGTTACTGATTATTATTAAGCATTTATTTTAGGGATATATTTGTTTACAGAATTGGGATACCTTGGTCTTGTTGTAAAGGGTGGACAGCGTTTAATCATCCTTATCCAGTGGATAAGTCGATGCTGTTATCCAATAAATTTATTAACTGGATAAGATTTTTCCATCAGATAGAACCATTGGAAATAACTTTCAACTCTTTGTACGACTGGGTCCAGGATTTGTTTCCAAAATTAACCCGGGATTATGGATTATAAGAACCACCCTAACAGGGCCTAAATGTTCCATATATAATTAGGCTTGTCCTAAATGCTCAACAATTTCAGGGAAGCATGGACCTTTCTGGAACTATACGATATATTCTGGAGCTACGGGCAATATATCCCCCTCAGACCCTCCCCACCCCATGGAAATTCCAATCCCCTTCCATGGGGGAGGTATGCATATTTCTGATACTACTGCCAATAAACCCTCAGACCCTCCCCTCCCCTCCCCTTGAAAATTCCAATCCCACTTCATAGGGATGGTATGGATATTTTCTAGAACTGCCAGCAATATACACTTGAATCACAGATGTCCCACTAATAAGACTTGCATATTATCTTGATTACGTAGCATGCAGTACAGGCATCAACCTTAATAGTACTTCACCCAGGGTCTACAACAATGTGGCTTGGCCGAGCAACTGACCACTTACCCAAGAGCTTTCCTCACGTTATTGCCTGGAGACGACCACCCCAAAACACAGTTCCTCTGCCAAATGATGGGATTTTGGAACGGGAAGGAATATACCATGCTGACAGTGAGACACAGAGGGATCTTGCTTTGAGTCTTGTTGAACAAGCTATTTGGTCAAGAAATTCAAGTCTTGGGATGAGCCGCAAGCAACAAATATCTTCCAGCCAAGTAAGAGTTTCACACATTTTACATCATTAGTGTACCAATGACAAGCTAAATTCCAATTCAATCTGTGAGTTAGCTGTGCCCTAACTTAGATCAGACCAGAAGTTGTTTCAGGGTTAGATCTGTGAGTTAGCATTGCCCTGACTTAGATCAGCCCAGAGATTGTTTCAGGGTTTGATCTGTGAATTAGCATTGCCCTGACTTAGATTAGCCAAGAGGTTGTTTCAGGGTATCAATTTGAGGGTTTTTGAGCAGCACCTTAAAAACAATTATTTGCCTTCTCGCCCCTACTACTGTACTACAATCTAAAGAAGTCATTGCGACAATGCAAAATTGAGGCATCATTTTGATGAAGGCATCTGCCAGTGATATAAATAGAGGATATTACATGGGCGTGCGGAGATATGAAATTTACCTTCGAGTGTTGAAAAGATCTCTCACGAGTTCGCTGCGCTCACTCATGAGAGATTTTCAACACGAGAAGATAAATTTCGTATCTCCAAGCTCCCATGTAATATTCTGTTTATTATATAGTTATCCATTAAATCAACTTAATAAGCTTTTTATTATTATAAAGAGTTTTTATTCATAAACTAATAGCTTAAATACACACGGTAACGATATTTTCACATGTGAAAATAACATGTTATTTTCACATGTGAAAATATCAGTTTTTCGAAAAGGAGAAATATAGGTATTTTATGGATAATTATATGATAAATATGAATATCATATAAATGGACAACAAAAAAGACTCCTCAATATTTTATAGAAAATTTTCTCTGAATAATTCTTCCAGGTAGCTGCATATAATAGTGGGGTTGAACCAGAAGTGCTCGATGAAGAAGATTGTTCTGTAGAGTGGACTGATCTCAGCTCACAACCGACCTATGTCGCGGGAGAACAGGTAGAGGCAAACAAATAAATAATTCCATTATAAACAAACTAGAGAAATAATTAACTAGATGTAGCAGTAAAGTTAACCCCACACATTGATCCTTATTTGCATACTGTCATGTGCAGCTTCAGAAGCTGAGTTTTGCCCCACCCCCCTCCCCTGGTGGCATTGATCTTATTCTTTTTCCTCTCAGTTTACTTCCTATCACAACAGTCAATGATCATGCCAATACACTGTAGTTTAATTATTGCAACACAATAATGAAAATTCTCTGAGGCAAAACTATATTATAATAATTCTTGTTCTTGATTCAACAAGGCATTATATATTGATCCCCGAGAGCCTTACAACTTGCGCTGGCCAATGAAATTTGGCTGTCTCAACTTGCATGGTGGTCCTGGAGGCTCACTGACTGCAATTTGTGAGGACCTTGAGCGAATCTGGGCAAACGCAATAGAAACCATGCTCAAAATCCCACTCACTGATTTACCTGTAAGTATCAAAATTACTCTGTCGTAATTATAATTAACAGTGGCGGATCAAGGGGAGGGGTGCAGGGGGCGTGCACCTCTCCCTGGTTCCACTTGTGTCACTACTTCAAAGATTTAACCAATACAAAATAATGTTTTTGCCTTTGATTCTAAGGAGTGCACCCCTCCCTGAGTCAACTATGTGCGCTGCACCCCTCCCTGAACAAATTCCTGGATCCGCCTCTGAATTAGTAGCATGACCTAAGGGTGATAAGTGATTACATGTCTTGAAAGCCGAGGAAGGTTTCGTTGAAGTCCTGACGCCGTAGGTGGAGCCAAGGCTAAGGTCATTTAATCGCTAATCATTTGAAAGGTCATACAATATTGGTATTACTATTGTTCCAGTCAACATGGCTGCTGCATGATTAAGGCCCATTAGATCTTGGCTTCATTGCTTGCTCCTGATTGGCTTAGTTGATCTCCTTAAGTTGTATCAGCCCAAACATACCCTACGTTCCTCCTCTAAATTTCTGCTTGTGACAACAAGACCAAAAAAGAACCTTCGCTTTGGCTGCACCGGTACTCAAGTTCAGTTTCAGAGTTTAAATCTGCACTAAAACACTACTTGTTCATCAGGAGTAACTGACTTTTTTTGCAATTTTTACCACAAACTTGATATCCGTCTGGTCCTTTTGTAAAAAGCAACAAGATGTTGTATGATGCGTTTGTTTATTATTATTAATTAGGAGCTTCCTCACAGTAAAGGTGTCTTTTTCTCTTTCCAGTTTTACAGAGCTGTGCTGGTGATTCCTGACTCATTCAACAAGAACCACACCAAGGAAATGATGGACATTCTTATCAACAGGCTGAAATTTTCTTCGGCTATTATACAACAGGTTCCTAACATAAAAAAACCTTGATACTGGGGATTATTGCCAGCACATGCATTACATATAGAATTGCAACTTTAGCTGGTTGGTTTTTTTTTGGGAGGTGGAAGGGAGACCATTTCCCTCCTACCTAGTTGTTCATGCATGTGACAAAAAGACTGAGCAACAAGCGATGTTGGAATGAATAAAAAGATTTTGTTATCTGTTTTTTTGTTTTCTCAGGAGTCTGTGTGCTCTACATTTGGGTGTGGGCTCAGCAGTGCCTGTGTGGTTGATGTAGGAGATGAAAAGGCCAGTGTCTGTTGTGTAGAGGATGGCCTTGTCATACCAAACTCAAGGTATGTTATGAATATGAGACTTTTAGAGAATCTAGAGACTTCTTGGGGTGCACCACTCATGCCCCTCCTCTCACCAATGTTACCCTGGTCCAATAGACCTCCTCTTTCAGACCACGTGTCATTCCCTTGAGAATAAGATTCTCTGCTTGAGTTGTATCCATATTCATGTGTCTTCTCATGTGCAACCGAGCGCAAACCTTAAATAAAAAAATGATACTCTAGGGAATGACTTGTGGTCTGAGATGGGAAAACATTAGGTCAGAGCCGAAGAGGTCTATTTCAGGGCTTGGTGTCGCATGTGAGTAGACTTGTTTGTTTGTTCTTTCCTGTTCTGCAAGGGTTTTTCTCCGGATTCTCCAGTTTTTCCTTCCTCCACAAAAATCAACTTCTAAATTCTGATTCAATCTATGGGCAGCTTTATCAAGTGGGTTGTAAAACCTGTTTTCAATCCCATCTGGAGTTGCAAATCCAGCTTGCTTTCCATGTCAATGAAATGAATGATCTAATTCCCCACATTCATTCAATACATTTTCTTGTCAGACACTGGTTGCACTATGGTGGAAGAGACATTACACGATGCTTTTACTGGTTGTTAAAGAAGGTAAGTCCTTAAAGTCCTTGGTGTCAGCACTACGTGCCACACAGACATAGAGGATAATGATGAAAGAAAGTAACATTAACAGATAGAGGCGTGATTAGAATCTGGAGCTTTTTCTATTTTTTTTGCAAAAAGATACAAATTTATTTTCAAACTCTTTCTGAGCTAAGAAAACAAAGCAAAACAATTCCCTTCTATTAAGGATTGAATTTTTTTCAATGATACAGCACTTCCCCAATCACATAGAAAAAAACTTACATTATTTCATTTGCCCTTAGGTTGAAGTAGGTTATTAGGACAAGTAAAAAAAACACGAATGTTTCTCGTCCAGATTCGTATAAAAAAGAGAGCGGGTAGACACATTTTTTTGTTATTTTCTAACTTTTTATTTAATCAAAATAAAGACAAATGCATGTTTATGTATTTAAGTAATTCTCTTTTTACCCAATTGACAGAACTAGTTACAAAGTGAAAGTAATGCCTGTTGCTTTTTGTTCGTTCTGATTTTTCCAATAACAATAAAAAGATAGGTTGCCCCAAAAAATGAAGTGATTGGGGACAAGAAACATTTTTCTTTTTTTACTTGACCTTAAGGAAGTCAATGAAGGCACATGCCGTTTGAAGCTTTGTGTTTTTCCACAATGTCGTGTGAACACTTTGATTGATGTCTATAAAGACCTTATTTTGCTACGACAGAAAATCGTACGATTTCAAGGAAGTGATTAAGAAGTGCTGTAATATTTTTCATTGTTTTGATCCTCAGCTTGAGTTTTAGTGCAAGGGGCAATAATAATCTTTATTGAGGATAACCAACGTCACAAAGTCATGAATTTACCAAAGGATCCTCCTAAGGGGTCTGCACTTTTGACCAGGAATTTTGTGGGTCTTGAAACTCTGTTATAAAATAATCCTTGTTCAACCTCTCTTTGTTCATCTTGGGTTTTTTTCTGTGCAGGTTAACTTTCCATACAAAGAGTGTGACCTGAAGAGTAACCTTAATACTTTCATGCTCACTGAACTCAAGGAAACATTTTGTCATCTTAGCCAGGTCAGACAAGTTCTCTACTTAATATTGAAACAGCAAAGGCAGTCAGTGCAAAAGATTCCTTCCCCCTCCCCCTGGGTCCCCCCTTGTTGCTTTAATAGAACTATGTGGTATGGTCCTGCTTTATTTTCCCTTTATTTTTATCTAAATTTTGCTTCCATCACCACTTTAGAATCTAGCAAGAGACTGGGATAAGTTTTGAATCTTAAATCTAATTATGGGAAAAATTTTGTCATTAGAGAGAGCAACTCAAGATAAGTAAGTCTGGTTTTATTATTCCAGGACATAGTAGGTGGTCGGGTCCACGAGTTCCAGGTACACCATCCTAATCAAGCACCTCTGTCTTACAACCTGAAGATTGGCAACGAAGCTATTCAAGCACCAATGGTTAGTTGAAATAATCAATGTTCCATTTTACAGTTCCATTCAGTGACCACAAATAATAGTTCCTATCCGAGGCTGGAGTTTCCGTGCATAGCAAAACTATAGATTATCATGCGCTGCAACTCCAACCTCGGCTAGGAACTATTATTTGTGGTCACTGAATGGAACTGTAAAATGGAGTATTGATAGACCCATACAACCTGTAGTTGATTTTGACATTTCATCTTGAGGAAAGGCTGAAAAATTAAAATCAAATTGAACCTGCTGGAATTCATTTAAAAGGGCAAGGATGTGTTATCATGATGGATAAGACTACTCAATAATGTAATAAATCCAGATTCCAATATTTGAATCAAAAACTTCAAACACTTTGAATCTTGGCCTTGAAAAAAGGGTGAGTTTTATCCATATTATTTTTCTTCTCAAATGTTGACTGTGAAGAAAGAAATTAATATTCATCAAAAGAAAGACATGTGGCAAAAAATCGTAAATAAAAACTCACAAGCTGTCAGGCTGTAGCTTCTTTTCAGAGAAAATACAATGAGCTGTGTTCTTAATAATATACATTTTTCAATGTTTCCTCTGAAGGAAAAAATGAATAATGAAACTTTTTGTCATTTTTTTGTTAGGCTATGTTCTTCCCTCAGTTGTTTGGTATTGTTGGTAAGAGGCTGGTGTTCACATCAGACCCGCCATACGACGATCCAGAAGACCTCTTAGATGATAGATATTTGCTCGAGGTACAGCCACCACAGCAAGCCCACTGCTTGCATTTAGTAGAAAAGCCTATGTGTAAAAGCAAAAAGGAAATAATTCATAAATGGGAACCCTGTGGCACTTTATATGGGATCCTACGCATCCAATACAGGACCCTTGAATTCTGTACAGTCTTGAAGAACTTGTAAGATATTGTAGTGAGGTTTAGATAGTGGTCCGAAAGATGACACCTTTTTAGGTTCTTTCTAATGCAAGAGACAATATTGCTTGAATTTCTTATCACATGTCTGTCTTTTTCTATGATCGGTTGTTCAATTAGTTTGGTTTTGACAGGTCTTTGTTGGATCAAGGTCTGACTCTTACATTAGTAGTTTTTGTTTGTTTGTTTGTTAGTCGCAGCGTGGTGATCAGTCAAGCAAGAAAGGTGGGGCAGGGACTGACACAGCAAACGAAGCCGACCAGGCTGAGGTCTCAGGGACCCCAGTTATTCCAGGCAACAGGAAGCGTCCAATGGTAGCATCAGCAGAGAAGACCTTAGCTATGGATCAGGCTATAATACAGAGTATTGAGTGTTGTCGTAAGTGATTAGATGTTGATAATTATTAGTAGTCACATTGAATCGCACTGTGCCACTTCAGATGGCGTTGCACAGCACGCCGCACCAAAACACAGCACAGCATACCATCGCTGCATACTTCCTCCTCCTTCACAGCTTACTACGCTGCATTCATAAGCACCATATGCCATGGCTATCCACAGCATACCACATCAAAGCACAGAACATTACACCATACTTTACAGCACCACATTCTAACCAACCACTATCAGTATATATTAACTCTTCTGTATACCACAAGAACTCTGCACTGAAGTACTTTACGACACATTATTATATAGTTAGGATAGTATGCGCATGCTGATTGGTCAAAAACTTTGCTTAACTAGTGAATGGAGCACAGTGCTGTAACATCCGCGCATGCTTGCAATGTTGCACCATGTGTCCATATCTTAAGAAGCACAAGCCTCATGCTTCTTCTTACACTTCTTTCATGCGTACGCCACTTCCTACATGCTTTATTACTAAACAGAGCATGAAAAAAGCTGTTTTATTTGTTAATTAAACAACACCACAGCACTTTACAGACATTATGGCATACCTAATACAACCAAGCAGGTTGCCACAAAACACACCACAGGGGCGGATCCAGGATTTTATTCAGGGAGGGGTGCTGCGCACAAAGTTAACACAGGGAGGGGTGCACACCTTAGAATCAAAGGGTAAAAACAATATTGGTTATCTTGGAAGTAGGGGTACAGAGTCGAACCAGGGAGGGGTGCACACCCCCTGCACCCCTCCCCTGGATCCACCCCTGCACCATCCTACCACCCCACATTACACCTTACTACCACCACTACTACCACTACACACCTCTCTCACAAAACACCATACCCGCAGTTCTGATTTTATATTTTGTATTGCTTTTTGTAGCAAGCGAAGACACAAAGCGAAAAATGTACAGCAACATACTGTTGATTGGAGGAGGGTTCAGCTTCAATGGCGCAGCACAAGTACTACAGACAAGGGTGCAGGCCAAACTTCCTTCGCATTTACGTAAGCTGGTTGACCAAGTTGAAGTCATAGCAAGGCCAAAGGTATGAATACAGTTTTCTTTATACATGTAGTTACTGGTTTACACAGTGCTAGAGGCATTGGTAGCATACATTTTTTTCTGAGTGCGACACTGTAGTCAATATTATACATTTAGGAATTTATAGAACCGTCTAGTGCTTTTGTAAATCCGATATTGGTTAACCAAAATCTAACCTTTGAGTTTTGCATGGTCATGATTATGAGCTCCGTTAGAGCGCTTTTGATATTTGCTTCTACCCCACCCCTTCAACTTACAGAAGTTCTAACCCAGATTGTAAGAAAGGAAGAATACTCTGCTGATATTCCTTTGATATTGCTCACAGGAGATGGATCCCCGTATTGTAGCATGGAAAGGAGGTGCAATCCTCAGTATCCTCGACTCGGCACAAGAGCTCTGGGTGACTGAACAAGAATGGAACATTATTGGTGTACGAGCTCTCCGTGAGAAATCATTATTCGTATGGTCAACCATATAGACATCATGATAAAGATGGCTTGAGGTTGATGGTCTGGGTAACAGTAGTAGTGTAAGTACCTTAATGGAGCCATTATTGTAATGGTTCGCTGTTAGGCCACATCTGGTCCCATAGATGAACAGTGTGGAATACCATAGTTGATTCAGTTTTGTGGATAACAAAGGGTATTAATCTTATAAGCAGTACCCTAGAACCAAGATTGAAATGGCTACACTTCCCAAGCTGAGTTTTCCATAAACATGCATTTAATCTTGGTTGTCAATGGATTTGCCTGCACATGGGTCTAATCCCACCTAGGCATGGATCAGACATCAAACATCTTATTTGATCCTTTCTGTCAAGGTAGATCAGATTGCAGTTTTGGTATTATGGCAGCGAGAACAGAGGAATCGGTGCGGAGAAAAAGTTATTGATTGAATGAATATGAAGAAATTAATACCACTAAAATGCTTCATTTTCAAAATCTTTTATTTTAAATGATATATATGAATACTTTGACGGAAACAAATAAAAACTGTATAATTTACAAAAATGATTGAACTACGAGACTGACTAAGCTTCACCTATTCTACATCAAAACTAATGTGTCATGCTATGCAATCTTAAAGTATAGATGACACAGGGAGCCCAAATAGTAAAACCACAACTGACTGACAATTTTTCTTTCAAATAAAGAGCTTAATCTTGGTCATCTTCAGTAATCTTACAAATGTTATTATCTTTTGTTTTGCACAATGTAAATAATGATAATGTACAATTTCTCCTTGGGGAGACTGGGGACAGGTTAGAATCGACCACAGAAAGCCCAAAGTAGCACAGAATAGTGAATAAGAATGTTTCTTTTAATATTGATAAGATCTGTTACACTCTAAATAAGCTGAAGATATTGAAAACTTGTTTCAGAGTTCAAGGGTTAGAGGTGTTGAAACCAAAATGTTGACAAAAATGTCCTATAAACACAGGATAACCAAGACTTCTAAGCCCTTGAGTGTATCATATTAATTGATTTAGATCTGACAGTTTATTTATATATTAATAAGCCACTAATAAGGGTATTTCCACTTCAGGATAGCTCCATCTGCACTGATTGATATTATGAACTTGGAATTGGGGCAAATTTTGACTCGTACAATGTCACCACTATGACCCGTCCCCACGTGGGTGACTTCACCTTTATCATATCCCCATACCTAGAGAGGACAACCAGATAATATCATTAGGGATTACCACTATTAATTAAGAAGATTGATTTGGAACTGCTGTTGTTCGGGGAAGGGGGGGGGGGGGGGGGGGGGGGGGGGTACTCCCCTATATGCGCTATACGGGTACGTGCCGCCATGAGATGAGCATATCTTCCCGGGGGGGTTACTCCCCTATATTCACTATACGGGTACGTGCCGCCAAACAGGGTATGGTTTTTAGCGATTCTGCTCTGGAACAGGGTATATAAAATCCCGCTCGCTCCGGCACAGGGTATATGAAATCACACTCTCTCCTCTCTGGATTAGGGTATCCATTTTTGCAATACCGGAACAGGGTATGATTTTCAGCGATCTTGCTCTGGAACAGGGTCAGGGTTCAGTGGGCTCAGCGGCACATCCCTATCCTAAACGGGCAAGAGTACTCTTGGAGTATAAACATCCCCACCACTGGTACCCCCATAAGAGATAATTAATATTAGAGTGGATTTTGTGTTAATGTGCAACATCATGGAAGACATCCCTTACAGAATGTAGATGATGGCTAGTAAACACTAGCGTGGACAGAATGGATGACATCCATAACATGCAAGATCTATATTCACCTAGTATCCTGAATGCTTTGGAATAGCACCATGCATTTTTCACACTTATACCAGGACTACTATATTGTTATTGCATACCTTGATTAGCTTATCTGAACCACCACTAACAAAATTAAAGCCATCAGGACTGATATCAAGCCCTTCAATAGAACCAGACTTGGAACCTTCCACTTCTCGGATCTGTGATCCATCATATGTTTCCCAATATGCAATCTGTAATGTAATATATGAACCAATTAAAACCAAGATATCTAGGATTGCAATACTACTCTTCCCAGTAGACTGTTACACCCCACGTTTTCAACGCATCCAGAGGAGCTTTTAAACCCACCCACGGCTGAGAAAACGGCTGAGATCTTGTGATCGCATTTTGTGATTAGCTTTTTGATGTACCACATGATTAAAATTTGACAACGCCAACAAATTTTGATCACGTGGTACATCAAAAAGCTCATCACGTGGTACACATAATGCGATCACGCGATCAATTTTTACAAGTCACAAGACTGTCATTACCTTTCTGTCGGTGCCACCTGTGATGACTTGGCTCTCCTGGTGGTTGTAACACACTGCTTTAAACATGGTGTTGGCAAACACTATCTGATGCCGAACCATTCGCCTAGCAACAAACAAGATGGGCAGTTCATAAATCATGAGCTAAAGCCACAGCATCAAAGATACACAAGGTAAGCAGGAAACTGGTAAATTTGTTCCCATGCAATTATAGACTTATTTAGTTAGGGTGTAAATTATGATCTGTTTACAGCACTTCCAAATCCCATGTGAAAAAATTATACCATTATTTTCTGTTGCGACAAACTGGTTTTCACAACATTCCATAGGCACGTGCATGTGTGTCTGAAGGGGGGAAGAATAATATCGTTTATACATACTCTAAATTCCAGATAATGCATGTTCTATCTGTGCTAGCTGAGATACACTGCAATGAAAGGACAAGGTATAATGAATTTAAATCATGATTGAAGAGAGTTTTTATTCAGTCCCTAGAATGAATTTTCTGCCAAATAGAGATGGCAGTCACGTTCTTGGTCAGTGTACCTTAACAAAAGAAACTAAATGACAGTTATTATCAAAGGTGCACCAGTAGATCCCTTGCAGCACGTTGGAACACCACTCAATTTGGGGGTCATAACAATAGGTTTCCAATTCTCATGAGATTCAAATTCTTTTGTTTTGAGTTGCTTTGACGTCACATGCAAGGGGTCTATATGGCAGCGGTAAAGTCGTAAAAATGCTTGTGCTATATAGCATTGATTTTATGGTAATCTAGATGCTGGTTTCCTTACCTCTTTGTCATTAGCACGCACTCTAATACATGTCACAGAACCTAAAAATAATCCAAACACAAGACTGATTAGTCTAGGAAAATATCCACATAACCCCCATGGAGGGGTTTGGAGGATCTGAAAAGGTTATATCATGTAGTTTCAGAAAATATCCATACCTCCTACATTAAGTAGGATTTGGAATTTCCAAGGGGTGGGGAGGGTTTAATTCATTTTTTAAATACACTCTGCTATTTTATTTTATTTTACAGAATATATTCTCTCAGTTAGTGAAGGTGGATGAAAAGTTGAAGTGTTCAGAGACTATACCTTTGTGTTCCTTCAAAGCATGATAAAGGCTAGTGGTTGGTTGTTCTCCATCATAGACATCCCAGACACGCACATCACCTTCTCCTCCCCCACTAATTATCCTTTGGCAATCAGATGTTGTGGCCAGTGCCGTCACTCCCTTACTGTGAGCATCGTTGATCTCATACTTTAGTTTTCCTTTCTGGGGTGTGAAGCAACGAATCTTGCCATCATCCCATCCTTTGATAAAAAGAGGTTAGATTAGTGTTGCAAGGAGATTAAAAAAAGTGTTGCAAGGACAAAATAGAGGCTTTGCACCATCACATGATGGCAGCCATAACAGGCAGGAATGATTATTGAATCTGTTTTAATATATGGTTTAATTTACATGAGAAAGAGTTCAGTTTCCCACAGGAAAAAGTCGACTAAATAATCGTTGTCTCCTGTCACAGCTGCCATCTTGATGGTACAAACCTCTTTAGGGAATGTACCTATGTTCACTCCTGCTACACCTGACAGAGAGCATAGAATCTAATTTCCCTGCATCAGAGCTACTATGCTATCTAGAACTGCACACAAGCTTAATAAATCTTACCACTGATAATAGATCTTCCATCTCTCATAATCGCTACAGCGTTACATGTCATGTTAGGTACTTCAATTCTCATCAGTTCTTTGCTTGTGTTGGTGTTCCATACGCGGATCTCATTCTTTGCACATGTTATGAACAGATCTGAGTATTGACTACAAGTAAAAGAGAAAAGAAATGTTAAATATTGTATAATAGAATGTAGTGAAGAATATACACGATTAAGCCGTGAAAGTAGGCTTTATTCAAGTAAACCATGTGCTTACACAAACATGGCCGTCGTTACAAAACGTGAGATTCCGCTGACCTAAGGCAGGCACTTACACAGGTAACCCAACAACTAGTAATTACTAAAGAGTGTTTTTGTTAATGTTTGGTACATTAATCACTATTATCAGTACATAGAAAAAAATTAGATTCTTGAATGATCTAC